ATAATTGGGGATAGGGAGGGTGAAGTAATCTGTGTTTTAACAAATGATATACACTCCAGTTTGAGAACCACTGCTCTGAATATGCTCAAGCTGCTGGCTAAGTTACCTTCATCTATCAAAGGCTGGGATTCTGTAAAGCCAGAGATGGTGGTGTTATTGGTAATCTTAAATTCGGTGTTATATAATTTGTCATATTGTTATACTGAAACGAAACCCTCCAATATGTCCATGTACCTGTAATCTGTACTTCATGCGCATCACATGGAATGCCAAATGGAGCTGTCAAGGGACCCTTGTGAAAAATACAGAAAAAAAACCAGTGGTTTCTGGCTGCATGAGGGAGTGAAACACCATGATTCAGTCAGTGTTTTAGGTGTGTTCATGTTTTCATTGGCATATAAATCGTTCCAACCGATGAGTCATGGAAGATAGGAAAACTAATTTGTTTGAGGGGATTTGTCAATAGAGTTCTAAATTTGTCAATACGGTTCTAAAAAAAAAAGACCCACAATTTTAAGAAGTTTATGGTATTGGCTTATATTATAATGGAAAAAAAAAGCACCATCTTATGCATTATTTAGATTTTTGAGAAAGAGATAACGGGTTGGATTCTTTGCCTTTAGCTATAATTTCTCTAGGTCCAACTTTATTTCAGTATTTCCTTCATCTTCATCTCCTAAACGTATTCATTTTACATCTGTAATTCTGTCCACCCAGTTTCAATTGGAGCTGGAATTATGTGAGTTCTCCTTTGTTCATCACACAACTCTGTCAGTTAAAGCCCTGAAATCATGCCTCTTCTTAGCATCCTCACTACGGCTGTCCTAAGATCAAGATCTTCTACTTTCTATATCAGATCCTTAAAATAGTTTCTTTACTGGTCCCCAGCTTCTGGTCTCTTCCATCTCCGATCCATGGGACATAGTACTGCCTAAGTCATTCTAAAACACCATTTCAACCAGGTCTTTCCCCTTCTCAAAAACTTTCCCACGATTCCCTATGAGTTACAGAATAAAGTTTAACTTTATGTATGTATGTATTTAAATAACCTCTATGACTAATGTGGGGGTTGAACTCACAACCCTGAGATCAAAAGTTGCATCCTTTACCGACTGAGCCAGCCAGGCGCCCCCAGAATAAAGTTTTTAAAAAGCCAGCACAGCATCTGTAGTCATCCACAGTGTATGTTGACTCTCCCTGTTTGTGCTCACAGAGCTTCCTTCTCCTGAAGTGTCTTTTTGACATTCTGACAGTTAAGTTCCATTTGTCCTTCAAGCCTCCACTATCACCTCCTCTTGGCCATTCCTTTTGAATCCCAGTTGGAGTTAATTGCTCCTCTGCAGTGTATTCTCAACACCTGCATTTCAGTTATTATTAACTTTTTAAAAAATCTGTATGACATCTAATTTAGTTGTGTCTCCTTTAGATTTTAGGATTCTGGAGGGCAGGGGTTGTGCATGACTCATTATGAGATCATCCTAGGGCATGAGCATAATGCCTTGGACAAAGCAAACACATGGTATTTGTTGCATTCTTGACACTGGGAAAGAAGATATTTAAGTTTGTTAAACAACAAACTCTATGTATATGAAATGCTTTTATGCAAACAATGACAATCCACTCCTCTACGTTTTCTCAGAACTGAAAGAGAAGGTTTAACCTTCAACCTAAAGGATTTAGATTAGAATCCAAGAAGGAATTCCCAGCATGGGTGGTGGAATTAAGGAGAGTTTTCAAGGGGGGTAAATTCTAAACAGAAATAAGTCTCAGCCACATGAAAATGAAACTAGATAGATGATTTCTTCAATTTTTTAACGTCTTGATTTTAAATTTCTCTGAGAATGACTTTCATGAAACTAGACACAAAGTTTTCATCCGATTATTTCCTAGTTATCATCACTTAAGCTCTCCATTGCTAACTTGTTTAAAAATTTTTTTGTGAGTGCATGTGTGTGTGTGTGTGTGTGTGTGTGTGTGTGTGTGTGTGTGTGTGGATTCTCAGTTCCCAGAGGCAAGAAATGGAAAAAGGTGCCTATGGGAGGAAGATCCCCCCCTTGGTCCTGCCCTCTCACCTGGAGGCAGTTTCTGAGTGGGATGACTCCTTGGTTATCATTCTTCCCACCTTGGCCCCAAGCCCCAGAAGGAAGCACACTGTCCTTGCACTTACCCGTAGAACTTGTTTCCTGTTTTCCTGTTAAGACTGTGGGATCCTAGAAGGCACAAGCTACTTTACTAACCTTTGCATTCCTGGCGAAGTGCATGACCAAATAACTATTTGTGGAATGAATACATCAGCAGTTGTGGTATACCTGAAACTCCTGGGAGTTTGCAAAGACCTCCGGTGATCTTTAGAGCCTAACCTGGTCTCTAATCTGCAAGCTGGAAAACATTTTGTAGGCCATTATCAGTAAGTGCCTACTGGATATTCAATGCTATATTCTATGTGCTTTGGAAAAGGTAACAAAACCACATTGATGGTATATTGAAATCCTGTTCAGCAATTCCCCCTGGACCTCTGTTTCTAGGTTGTTACATTTGTGAATTTGGAATACTAACAGTTACCTACCTCATAAGGCTTTGGTGGAGATCACATGGCTTAGTACATACAAGGCTCCAAAAATAGAGTCTGGTATACAGTAAGCATGAACAATTATTATTATTACTAAAAATCTCTAAGTACACTTGCAAAAGTTGGGGAAGAAAAACCCACAAATCTAAGTAGTTCACCTTTTATTCATACAAACAATACATACACAAGACTGTACATTGTTTGAAGACTGCAATAATTTTCTAGTGTAACAACTCTGTAACAAAATTTAACTAAATGTAACATTTATGAAAATATAAATCTCTGATTGGGTAATTCTTCCCAACAATACAAAGTTTACATAAAAACATTCAATATGAGCTATCAGTCGCAAACAAGTTAGGAAAAATCATTCAAGTCACTTGTTAAACTCTATTGGCTGTTACATAGAATATTCACACACTACATTTAATCCATCTAGGCATTTAATTCTTAGAAATGTGTGGCAGGGAGGTCCAACTGATAATCACAGGAGTAGGAATGTGTTGCCACAGAAGAGCTAAAGAAAAAAAAAAAAAGCATTGACTCATACAATCAACTCCAGGTGATCTCTACGTGGGCTAAGCCTTCGCTGGGCTACCCCCTTTCCGGCTGGTAGCAAGGCCAGGAGGAACATACTGAAAAAAATTCTTCCACCACGGAGTGGGGTGTTATGTCTGAATCCCATCTCTGTATGCTTTCATGTGAAACTGCTTTCCAAAGTGAAATGCAATGAACCTGGATTCCCTTTGGATCAGATCATTTTGCTTCTCCCATTTGCAAAAACAATCAAGCTGTCGCTGTCTTCTTCCTCACATTGCTCCCCAACATCCCTATAAGGGCTAGAGCAGAAGCTATCACTCCCTTTATTTTGCAGCTTACAAAAACAATACAGCGGAGAGGCTAAAGATCTGCCTGCGCGAAGAGTTCGTGGCCGAGCTGGGTTGAGAGCACGTCAGTTCCTCGGTCATCATTCTGCCGCCACAAGTCACTCCCGTCACTCTCCAAAGCAAACGAGTGCTTCTGACACCCTTTGAAAAGTCATCCAAGGACATGCCATGTGGAGGATATGGAAGGAAGAAAAGTCACTCTCCCCCTTTTGGGATGTGATATTTTCTTTTAAAAAGGTGAAGTAGTGTTTTTAAAAAGTATTTAATACCATTTCACAGCTTCTGCTTTGAAACGGGTAAGACTGTAAAGGCCCCGAGGGGCCCTCCAGCAGAAAGGGTGACAGAGGAAGAAGCCTACATACACTGTGGGGAAGTAAGAAAGTGATTACAAACAGGGACAAGAAAGAACCTGTGGACACCCTTAAGATGTGGAATATTTTAGCACAAAGACAGGCATATTCAGTGTGTCCCCGAGTATTTGGTCGTCTGTCTGCGTCTTACACAGGAGAGAGGAGGAAGGAGAATAAGGCAGATGTCTTCAGCATTTCGTAGATGACAGGTCAAGAAGGCTTTCTTTCTGTTAAGATTTACCGCAGGGATTTGGGAAATAATGTATGCTTCCATACAACTGGCTGAATAGCCCAGACTTTTGTTAGTACAATGATGGAAATGAACAGATGTCTTATCAAATCTATAATGCCCTTTCTGTAATTCCGCTTTAACTTCTAGCACAAAGAGGCATTTCAAAAACACACGAAAAGACTCTGGTTTCCTATTAAATGTGTTTCTCTTGCAGCCCGGGAAGTAGTTTAAAAATCGCATGTTCCGTTATACAGAAACCCTTGCATGCAACTGTCTCAACTGTATCCTAATGAAGACTGACTGCGTGCTCAGTAGCCCCATGAGGGTGGTACTAAGTTCTTGTGCCCAGTGCAGTTTGTGGCCTCACCTCTCACGTCCTTTCTCCTGGGAAACTGGGAGTACCAGGGGGCATTTTTGTTACGTGATTTTGCACCTTTTGATCTTCCATCTGCAGACTGGGTTTACACAGTTGTCAGGATTGTAAAATGTAAGGAGAGATTAAGGCTGTGTTTACTTATGGCCACACCATCATTGGAGGTCAAATAGCTCTTTGTGTTCACAATTTCAAACGATTTCTGTAGAATGAAGTCCAGTCCAAGGGGTCTGGATATAGTTCTAGCTCTGTCTTCTGAACCCATGGAATGAGTTATACTGTTGCTTCCCATGCAGCTAACGTGAAAAATATCTCCTAGCTCCCAGTTGATGTAGCCGGTTAAACACCATTTTTAGAAATGCTCTGCCAAGGTGTCATTCCTGGATTAACTTTGACAAAAAGAGCCAACTCAAAGCCGATTTCACATTTCTGTCTTTTTGACGAGCATGTTAACACTTGAACTCCAGCATCTTTCCTGTCTTTAAAGAAAGGAGTAGTTTATCATTTGGGAGACAGAAGATACTTTTTTTTTTTTTTCTCCCTTGTGCGTGTGTATCGCGCATGTCTGCTGAGCAAGAAGAATGTTTTGTCAGTTGTCAGGGGCGTAGCTGTGGCCCCTGGATTCCAGGGCGGAGCACACCCGGTCGTAGCAAGGGTTGTGTTTCTTGGATGGTGTCGCCTCATTGGGCTCAGTGGAATCACTCACCGTGATGGGACTGTCTCTCGCAAAGACCTCGGTAGACTCTCTCCACAGGCAATCCACAGACACTTTAAAACAGTAACGACTACACTTTGGCCTGGATGACTGTGTCGCATTGTTGAAAATCTGTCTGCTATTTGAAGTGGCAATTTTAATTTTCAGGGCTGCGTCTACACGGTCTACCACTGTGTATATCCCTATGCTCCCGTCGTCAAAACCCACTATGATGTTCAGGTGCCTCTGCGAGAGGGCGAGAAAAGTTGGTGTTTTGTAAAGGGAGCAGGCACCGATATTTTTGCCGTCAGCCAGTCTCATTACAATCAAACTGGATACCGCACCGTTTTCATCCCCCTCCTCCCCATTCCGGAAGCAAATGTATACCAGGTAGCGACCATCTCGAGAGAGCCTTTGCCTCCAGATGACCCCAGAGGCGTGAACCACCCGTAATTTGCCACTGTGTAAATCCAGCACATTGATATTTTCATCTCCCCTGGATATAATGCCTAGCTTGCCATTGGGAGAAATCTCGAAATCCTCCAGATTTTTCAAGAAGTTGTTTGGAAGTTGCACACGGCGACAGATGACTTCATCCGTCAGACTCCAGATATTCACTGTCTCGGCTGATGTGATGAACACAATGATGTCAGGGCAGTCGGGGATCAACTTAAAATTCACAATGGTGGTGCCATCTTCACAGCAAAATTTCTTGGTGATGCTTCCTGTCCAGAGACTGACAGCCAGCACTTTGCTTTTCGTCATTCCCACCACGAAAGTATTTGCGGAGGTTATAAAGGCATTCTGCAGAGTGGTCAAAATGTTGCAGACCCTGTGGCCTGTGGCCAGTCTCCAAACCCTGGAGGCATTTTCCTCACAGAGAGAGACCACAAACTGGTCATTGTGCGTAATTAGCAGCTGAGATATTCTCTGCCCGTTAATTCGGAAGAGGTTCTCCCCGCTGCTGGTGTGCCAGACGTACTGGCTGCTTTTGTCATCTGATGTCACCATGACATCTCCAGAGGACGTCAGCACGCAGTGCTCGACTATGCCCTCATGCTTGAATACTGCCTCAAGGAACCCACTGCTGAAGTTCCACTTGTGGACACAATCCGAGCCATCGAGGGAATAAATGATTTCCCCTCTGGCAGGTAACACCAGGCTTTGAATGGGTTTCCCAGTCTTATCTATGTTGGACATAGCGGTGATTATATCTATATCCCAGATGGAAAGAACACCACTGGTTGATAAAGAGAGCAGCATATTATGGTGACTGGATTTCACCAGCTTGACTATGGTACCTGAGATTTCCTGTAAGCTCGCCATACATTGTCCTGTGTCCCGCCTCCAAAAAAACACAGCTGAGGTATTTTCCATGGTCGCGATGATGCAGTCTCCGTTTTTGGACAGCACAGCAGAAATAAAGCGTTCGTTGTGCTTAGCTCTGAACTTCTCAGCCACCTTCCACATGCCCGTATCTAAGAGCTCAATGCTGAGGGCTTTACAGATCAGAATCGCATTTTGGTCCTCCGAAAGTTCAATGCTGACCACCTCGCTGTCTTCTCTTCGGCAGTCAAAGTCATCAGTCAGCTGGGGATTGGAAATGTCCTCAGTATTCCAAACCGAAAGGCCTCCCTCGCTGTCCACCATTACCATTTCTTGAGCCATGTCCAAGATAAGAAGAAACTTCACAAACCCACCTGAAAATTCAGATGTCACCGTACATAACTTTTCTCCACTCCCTAAATGAAATATGGTGGTGGTGTTCAGGTACTGTCCACAGAAAGCATACATGCCATCCAGAGAGCACTGGACACAGGTCACTTCGTACCAGCAGTGGAACTGGTAAAGGGGCCACCCGTAGAGCAGATCGATGACAGTGACATCTTTGCTGGCTTCAAGCCATGCGAGGGCGTGGTTGACAGACAGTGTAAATCCATTGATGTAGGTGGAGCCGCTTCCGTGCTTGGTGCCTTTGATTTCCACTTCAGACAGAAGACAAGAATTTACATTGTCATAAATCAGCAAGGTGTTATTTGTCGTAGCCACCACAAGATACTTTTCGTCACTGGTGAGTTTCATGCCCAGGATGACAGACTGGGCTGTGGTGATTTGCCGGAGGAGTTGACGGGTTTCCACATCCCACGTGCTGATGGAGCCATTTTCTAGAGCTGTGAGGACAGTACTGGGGTTACATGTAGGCAGAATCTCGGTGACATGCAGGTGACTAGAGGACAAGGGGAGACGCTCTGGACTATATGTCACGTCCATGGATGAATGTAATGGCACAATGGAGCAATATTTGGGCCCATCTTTGTCACATTCTAAAAGGAGGTGTCTAAGTTTGGGCAGGGAACTTACAACAGGCAGCAGCCTTTGCTGAAGCTCTGCTGAAAGAGAGCCCGGAAACGTAGTGACCTTGGTTTTGATGCCACGGAGAGTGCTAGCCAGGAACTTCAGCTCCTTCTCTTGCGAGTAGTTGTAAGCCAGCTCAATGTCTGAGAGCACTTTGTCGAACTGGCCGATTTTGATCATGGTATAAAGCCAGCTGAAGTTCATGATGATCCCGTAAAGCAGGTCATCGGTTTTTCCACACCTTGTCAGGTGGTGCAAGAGCTCAGACATTTTCCGATGATTGACAAAGAAGATGTCAGGCTCCAGTGGATTACACTGGAAAACCCAGGGCTGGTCTGGAGCCTGCCTGTCAAAGGAGGCCTGTTCCATGAAGTGCTTCTCTTCCTCAAGCAAACTTCTGCTCTCCAAGTCAAGGCAGCCATTCAAGTAGGGGTCTTCAAGGCAGAAAGCTTTCCTCCTGCCCCCTGACCAGACTCCCAGAAAGTAATCTGCCAGGATGGTGTGCATTTCGCGCAGGTTACTGTCGTCCTGCAGATACAACTTCTGGGCTATGAGCTGCAGGTGTCTATTGGCCCAGACCAAGAGTGTGACGTTCTTCACATGTCTTTCTATTAAGTATCCACTGAGACCCTCCTTGAGCCTCGCAATGTACAGATAAGGTACTCTCAGGGGATTGCTGGGCCTAGTGTTCTCATTGAGCTCATTCATCACACTGTTGTCTAGGGCCAACACATCCTCCAGTTCCATTTCACTCAAACCTATTTTGGCCATGGTGATGTAACCGAGAGCCCTGGAGACCAGTTTCTGACCACACTTCTTCTCCAAGGACCAGAATAGCTGCTCTATGCTTTCGTGAACCGTGACACAGAGGGAGGATTCATCGACGTCTTTGTGAGATCTCCAACATCTCACCTCCCTGAAGGTCAGGTTCACAAACATGGGCAGCGTGCACTTGGAGAATGCGTTGTTCACATAAATCTGCTGACCTGATGTGACCTTCCTTTTGACCCGCAACAGCTGGTGTTTGAGGACCTGGCTGCACATCTTCCGGTCCCGGGGAATCAGCTCAATGTAGTTGGCTTCTTCGTGGATAAGGCACCTCAGTTTCTGCAGGATCCCATGTCTGTTGGGCAGTGTGGACAGGACTATTCGTACGAAGCGGGGAAGGTGAGCTGGGAGCCACCAAAGCTTCCTGGCCTCGTCACTCTCTGAGAGCTGCTCTAGGGCATCGAATATTATTACTAGAGGTCTCTGCAATGAAGACTCGTTCAAAAGGTTTATAAATAAGTCTCGGAGGTCATGGATCTTCTTAGGGTAGCTTTGAACCAGACACCGGTAGTTGACTGCCAATTGTTCACAAACACTTAGAAGGAGAGTCTTAAGGTCAGTACTCATGTCTGTGGTTCCTAGAAATCTCATGACGACTACTGGGTCAGATTCTGGTCCTGTGTCTTCATGAAGCCAGCCATAGGCCTAAAACATAGAGGTAGTGTTTAGAACAGTAATGTATATTCACATGGTCGCATACACAGCATTTCCTCTCTCTAGAGGTCAGACTTCTGGTAACCCTGACCATGCAGAAAGTGGCCTAGAACCAGGGAATGGGAAAACCTGAGAAGATCAAAGAGCTGTCACAAAACTCATGCACCAATATCTATAGATGAGATCCTCAGGATCACTCTACTAAAGGTAATAAAATAGTGATAATAGTCTTATTCAATCCCAAGGCAGCACTTAGCTTGTTGTATTCTAAAAGTTACAAAGGATTTCATAAACAGTAAATCTGCATATCTAGTATGGTCAGCTTTTCCTCACTGAATCCTGTTTCCTGGCATGGGTTGTTGGCGCACAGTAGGTGCTTAGTAAGTATTTGTTTAATGAATAGATTAAGTAGTGACTTACGCATTATATTGAGTCAAATGTTTTCACTAATTGAGATCACATAAGGCTGATCAAATTCCTAGCTAATTAGAATGTGATAAAAATAGTACTAAAATACTGAATAGAATCCTGAATGATTCAGAGGCATTTTACTATATTGTGGTGCTATAGGGTCATCTTTATGATTATTTACCATTGTCATAAAAATCTGTATAATTCTGGCTAAAACGTTAAGCTTTATGTTTTATAACAGACAGCTCACTATATATTAACCGTCAGTTATCAGTCCTCACATCACCTCCCTGTAGGGCAGATGGGATTATAGTACCATTTAACAGAAGAGGAAACCTGTCCAGCCTGGATAAATGACTTGCTCAGAGTTAAGCAGTTACCAAGAGACAAAGCTGGAGGGTTTTTTTGTTTTTGTTTTTCAAATTGTAGAGTGAAGGGGTTAGCATATATGAGGGGGCTGTTAAATTTAGTATGTCTCTGGCTGGAAAGGCAAGGACGAGAAGGGGTATGATCAAAGTATAAAAAAAATCCCTGTCTATTTTTAGGGAGATAATGCCTTTCAGTAATCCATGGAATTCACCAAGAATATTGCTTAGGAAAGGATGAATTTTATTTGTGAGGAAGCAGGTTTATGAAACTTGGTTCCTCAAGATGTAGTTCAGGTTAAGGCATGAGTAAGTTTAGGAAAAAAAAATGTAGCAATTAAGGAAAAGAAGCAATTTACTGTTTAGCCCCAACCTTTGAAGACAATATGGAGGAAGATAAGCCTGCCATCCTACTAACAACTGTCCTTCCGTGGCAAATCAGAAACAGAACATGATATTTCATCCCTACGTGAATTGCTTATGATGATTATATGTATTGTCCTCTCTTCTCCCAGTCACGTGTTGTTGAATGTGTAGAGCGATCCTCTGATCATGAGCTCGTGTCCATGAAAATGCTGAGCACGGAGGAGATAACCTCGAGATAAACATGAGACATCTCCCTGCATTCTCACAAGGGACATGAAGTCACAAAGAGAGCACAGGTTGTCATTGGCGGGACAACATTCTGCAGGAGAGAGGCAAGGGACCTAGAAACAGATGAGGCTTCTTGTGGACCAGAGTCCTGGACTGTGAATAGACACACTCTGGTGGTTGGACAAAATATCCAGAAGAGTGAGAGCTCAGAAAACCATTTCTCAACTTGACCAACTCGACTGTCACCACCCCTGCTCTGCGGGGTCCGTCGATCTGTACAGGGATATTAGCACATTCCACACAATTCTGTACCTCCCCTGCTACGGCACATGGACTTGCATCACAGTGAATATAGTCAAGTCCAACAACATTTGCCCCTCCAACGACTTTACCCTTCCCTCTTCCGGAGGGAAAAAGCCCTAGAATGAAGGTGAAATGGTGTTACGTGGATGTTTTCTCATTAGATTTCAGCTTCCATGTGCTCTTTGTACTGTTGTCTTGTTGACTTGGAATAATTCTGAAGTTTGAAGATTCACATACAAATTAGTGTTCACACACACACACGCACGCACATACGCACGCACAGACACACACTTTATTTTGATGCAACAGGGCTCCTAAATGTAAGCCTGCCACTTCATCTGGTGTTCCATTAAAAAAGAACTATGTCATTTAACACTAAAAGAAACACCAGGGTCGCCTGGGTGGCTCAGTCTGTTAAGCGCTGGACTCTTGGTTTCGGCTCAGGTTATGATCTCACTGTTGTGGGATTGAGCCCTGTGTCCAGCTCCATACTCAGTGCAGGGTCTTCTTTGGATTCTTTTTCCCTCCTCTCTCTCTCTCATAAATAAAAATTTTAAAAAAGAAGAAGAAGAAGAACAACAACAACAACCCGCAGCTGGGCTTGGCATATTAAGAAATGGTAAATTAACTTTCCTGGGGACCTTTTTTTTTTTTTTAAGATTTTATTTATTTATTTGACAGAGAGAGAGAGAGCGTACAAGCAGGGAGAACAGGAGAGGGAGAAGCAGGCTCCCCGCTGAGCAGGGAGCGCAATGCGGGGCTTGATCGAAGGACCCCGGGATCGTGACCTGAGCCGAAGGCAGATGCTGAACCGACTGAGCCACCCAGGCGCCCCTCCTGGGGACTTTTTAAAAGTAAGTTTATACACCAGATCTTTGCCTGTGAACTTAATTTGAAACCTAATCCCCACATAAGGTACAACACAACTGTCCCTGTTCTTGTCCTCAAGATGACCTCCCTGAGATTGTGATAGCACACGACAGATGACCAGAGTGTTCGCAAAGTTAAAGAAAGCTCTGTTCTTGAAAGAATAACCACAGGAAGAACAATATAGAGATTCTGAGGTAAGACCAAGATAAAATAAGCTACCAGACCTGGACATCCAGTGCAACAGGAGGGTGTACTGGAACTAGTTTAGTCCAGTTTAGACTGACATGCCAAGACAATAGACCCAGAGTGAGGTTCCACACCATCGTGCAAGATTTGTAAGGGAGTTGTGAAAACCAGTTTTGCTACCTTTAGTGGACTACCCAGCTCCAGCCTAAAAAGGAATTTCAAGAGGCCAAGAAAAACATTGGAGATTAGGGTGCTGTGGGTCATATCTGTTACCATCCACTCCCAAAGGGCAGGGCTGAGAGATGTCCTCACTTCTCACCTCGGGAAAGGGGCTGCAATGGACCACTGACAGGGTCTCCACTAGAGCTGGAGAGACAGGGAGACAGATGTCCTCAAACACCTGAGAAATATGGAGGTTGACTGACAAGCCTGGCTAGCTCTTTGGGTGGAGGAGGGATGGAGAGCTGCTGTTTCCTAGGGCAAAAAATTCCCAAGTGCTTCCCATGTGTCACATGTGGGCCACTGGCAAGACTGAGCTGACAGAGGTTTTTGTTGGTTCTGTTTTCCTCAGGTCCTGTCTGAGGGAGCTTGCTGGGCTGTGGATCTTGGCAGAAAGGTACTAGAAGTGTGTGGCTGGGTGTCTAGGAGCCATGGAAGTGACCAGCTGGGGAAAAAGAAATGCATCCCCCTGTGTTTGGAGAACTGTAGGTAAGATAAGATGCTCAGGGAGGACAGGGCAGGGGAGGCAGGAGGGAAAGGACATCCAGGAAACTAGAAAAAGGCCTCAGAGGAACTAGGAAGCAGCTTTATTTGTTTGTTTGTTTGTTTGTTTGTTTATTAAAGATTTTATTTATTTATTCATGAGACTCAGAGGGGGAGAGAGAGAGAGAGAAGCAGAGGGAGAAGCAGGCTCCCCGCACAGCAGGGAGCCCAGTGCGGGACTCGATCCCAGGACCCTGGGATCATGACCTGAGCCGAAGGCAGATGCTTAACCATCTGAGCCACCCAGGCGCCCTAGGAAGCAGCTTTAAATGCCTGCCAAGATCACAGAATGTGGAGTCCAGTTTTCAGAACAGCTCTGGTCATGTGAGAACTTTCTGGCCACCTTATCTTTCCTACTTCCCTGAAGCCACAACCCTATAGGAGTCACAGCCCTACAGGGATCATGTGCTTGGGGTTGGGGACAGAGGGGAGGAAGTGCTATGTGGTGAAGGAAGGAGAAGATGACCCCATCCCCATTTCCCACGGCAGGTACCTTGCTTATGTGAGCCTCAGCTGTGGGAGAGAAACATAAACTCAAGTTTTAATTACCATTTTCGATTGGACAGATTTAATTGCTGAACTGTGAATGACTTAGGGTCCAGAGTGATAGGAAGGCTTGTCTTTGCTGAGAGGGATGAGAAGAGCTGTGAGATCTGCCCTGGTTTCCACCCAAATGGGAACTAGCCCCGCAACAGAAGTTTGACCAATGAGAGAAAAAATGAAGCTGTTCTCTAACTGTATCCCAAGTGCTTTTTTCTTTCAGTATGACCATTATACCAGCATAAGAGAAACACCAAAGTATCCTTTCCAAAAAGACTAATTATAATTCAGAAGAAAACACAGAAAACGGAAATGAATTTTGACCAGTTTATCTTTTCCCCAAAGTAAAGGATTTTTACAAATAAGCTTGCGAAAGAAAAGGCTCTCACCTTCTTTGCTACTTCAGCTAGCAGGAGGGTCTTCCCAGTGCATGGTCCACCATATATGACGAGAGGGTTGATGTGCCCGGTTTTGCTTGGCAGAACGTATTTATGCACGATGTTGAGAGATTCACATTTATACTCGTAGAAGGAGGCGTACGTCTTACATAATGAGGAATGCTGAAGGATTTCATCATAGAGCGTGTCGGTTTCAGTGTCAAAATTCTGTTGTACGGTTGCCTGAATGATATCAATCATGTCCTCATAAAATTGTTTACCAAGTCCTTCTATGTAATGATTTTCTATTTCTTGGGAATAGCCCAGTTTCATGTCACAATGAGTAACAGATGTGTACACTCTCAGATTAGATGATGCAACAATAGTTGGAATAAATTCATCCCTGAGTTTTATCAGCTTCTCTTGGGCTTCTGCATCCCGCATAATCCTTGGCTCTGTTCCAGTGATATCCATGTATTTTCCCATCTCCGGGATTTTCACAAAACGCTCAATGTTAGCAATTTTCCGAATGTAGCAAACACACTTCTTTAGGAATGCTGGAGTTTGCTTTCCTAGAGCAAAGTCAAACTCGTCCTCTATCGCTGAAAGAAAATGTGGCATGGGGTTTATTGTCTAGAACAAAGAAGCAGCGGGCCCACACCCCCAGTACTTATCTCTCAAGTCACCAGGGGGAGATTATTTTGCTTGCAGTGGGTAGCAGACTCTTTTGTAGATTAATTTCTTAATTCCTTAATTTCTTATCTCTCTTTTCCTAAACAGTCAGGAACCCAGTACAATGGGTTTTAATTAAAATTAATTTCCTCCCCAGTCAGAGAGAGAGAGCTTGAATATAGGCATAAAAAAGAAAGCATACTGAGTTTATAGTTGATTCTTTTAAGCTCCTGTTTAGTTTCTCTCTCAGACTTAAGGGGTTCTAATAGCGAAGAGCAGGGACCAACAGGGACCAGTAAAGAATGAGGAAGAGGTCAAATGACGCATCTCGCTGACTTCTTCCTTGTCACTGTCTCCTTTACAATGTGGCTTCACTATTTTGTTTGAGGATGCACTATACCCCAGACAGATATGTGTAAATAGTAATACAAATCATGTTCAACATCTAATCATGTTCTGATCAGTGATCAGTCTGAATTTTCCATATCACTGTTAAATTCCATTATATCTACCAAAGCAGGTACAGAAAAATGACTTCATATGTAAATGTATTTCTTCAAAGATAAACTGGGTCAGACAACACATTGGCTTACATACAAGTAAATATACATCATAAATCATTGAGGCCCCATAAGAACATTTAAAACTGGAGCATCAGTAACAAAAACATCACTGATGCATGATTTTATGGAGGAAAAATAAGAAGGAATAAAATAATTAAACCGATGGCAATGAACTTTAAGGCAAGCAATCTTTTAAAACTGGCTGCCTCCCCTCACTCCCCCTGCTTTCCTTCATCCAGTTGGTCTTAACTGAGTGTCTACTATGTGCTAGGCATGCTGCTGGTTACTCAGGATATAGTGGGAAGAGAAAACAGATAATGCTGAGCGAAAAAGCCATTAGAGCGCTTGCAGTCCAGTGGAGGATGGTGGACATGAGTCTTAGAGTCCCATAATGCATGTTTAATGATTGTTTTTAGTCCCGCGAAGGAGAATAACATGGTACAATGAAAGCAAACAATCAGGAGGGCTACCCCACTGGGAGAGGTCAGGGAAGGCTTTCTTAAGGAGGTGCCTACTAGGCAGCAGTCGGATAGAAGAAGGGGGGGCTGGGGTGGGCCTTGAGTATGCAGGGCCGGGCTGGCCAGAAACTGAAAACATTTCAATGTGCTGGCCCAACTCGAACATCAAACAAAACCCAGAACTTGCATGTGTTCTCTACAGTAACTATTAAGGAAGGTGGGAACTGTAATTTTAAATGGTGCCTTTTAGGACTCTCATGATAATAATTTTTTCAGGAATGATAGCCCTCAATCAAAAGCAATGACTCAAGTAAAAAAGATCTGTTTATAGCCACCAGCGTGGAGTGAGCCGTGCCATGGTCACCAGTCCACGTTACAAAGGGTTTTGTTTTTTTGGGTTTTTTTTTTTTTGTTTTTTTTTTTAAAGATTTTATTTGTCAGAGAGAGAGGGAAAGCACAAGCAGGGAGAGCGGCCGGCGGAGCGAGAAGCAGGCTCCCCGCCGAGCAGGGAGCCGGATGCAGGACTTGATCCCGGGACCCTGGGATCATGACCTGAGTCAAAGGCAGAAGCTTAACCGACTGAGCCACCCAGACACCCCTACAAAGGGTTTTGATGAGGTAAGTTGGTTAAGGAGGCCAGTCAAAGGAGTTTATACAATAGATATCTACTCTTCTTTTTACAAGAGTAAGAACTTGTAATGTAGATGAGGCAAGATGTAGGAAATCTGCAGAAAGCAGCCTTTGGCTCATCTCTTTTCCAGCCATCTGTGCAACATGCTGAGAGGCACCCTGGACGAACCAGGTGCTACCTTCTGTGGATCATGAGAAAGGAAGTGTCAACCTATAGTTTGTATACCTAATGGATGATAACCAGAGATTGCACCATCACCTCTGACTCCCAGGAAGCAAATCAACTGTAACATAACTGCCATTGTTACCATCGCTATGGAAAGAATGTGCCAATCAGGAGTGTTGATTATAAATGCTTTGTAAGAAGACATAGAGACAGACCAAGTTGGTAGAACCCAACGAAGCTTGGCTCAGGGTGAAAAAAAGAGGCTGTACATAAGAATGCCTGTTGATGGTATAGACTTAATAAATATACCTGAATAAATGAATCATGTGAGACAAAGTCAACTCTAGAGTTCTTTCTAGAAGCCAAGTGCATCCTCATGATTTTGGGGGACTTTTATTGATAATTTCTGATATTTATTGATCTATAAATATTATAAACTTCCCCTTCCTTACCAGAATACCATATTTGTTTTCTGGCCTTGCATTTTTCTAAATATCCTAAAGCTTAACTGGTCATGGCACCCGATGAAGATAACATTAGGAGAGTTCCAGCCCTGGCAACTACCATTCATGAGACATAAATCCCCAAAACTACTATCCCTGAGACCATTCAGTTTTAATGTTCACAGTTGGGCACTATTTTGGGGTCTATTTTATTTCTCTTCATCTCCTGTTATTTATAAAGGAGAAAGTAGAAGTGTGAAAAATTAGGGGCACCTGGATGGCTCAGTTGGTTAAATGGCTGTCTCTGGCTCAGGTCATGATCCCAGGGTCCTGGGATCCCCCTGCCTTTGCTTGCTCTCTCTTTCTCTGTCAAATAAATAAATAAATAAATAAATAAATAAATAAATAAATAAATAAAATCTTAATCTTTATATGGCTGGCCACATGGACAGAGTTTTTTAGTGTAGAGAAAATTAGGAGAAAGTGTTTGCCAGTGAAATACTTGAACACTGGAACTGTATGATTCTACATAAGAGGATGCTCTCCCAAACTGGGGTCTCTTACATCAAGAATAGGAAAGCTTTGGAGTGTCTGGGTGGCTCAGTCGGTTAACCGTCTGCCTTCAGCTCAGGTCATGATCCCAGGGCCTCTCCCTCACCCTCTGCCTGCTGCTCCCCCTGCTTGTGATCCCTCTCTCTCTGTCGAATAAGTAATAAATAAAATATTAAAAAAAAAGAATAGGAAAGCTTTTGCTCTGGGCATTTTCTTCAAATACAGCACGTTTTTAGGACCAGAGTAGTTTTGTTCTTGATGAAGATGAAGAAACAGAGTCTCAAAATTGGTTAAAAAAATCCCAAAGGAACAAGGATATTTGTCAGTCTGTATATTCTAAAGATGGTACTTATTATTGCCAGTTTTAATATTTTCAGGGACACCTAAAATAAGACCTATTTTTTTTTTGGGGGGCGCCTGGGTGGCTCAGTTGGTTGGGCGACTACCTTCAGCTTAGGTCACGATCCTGGAGTCCCGGGATCGAGTCCCACATCGGGCTCCCTGCTCCGCAGGGAGTCTGCTTCTCCCTCTGACCCTCCCCCCTTTCATGTGCTCTCTCTCTCTCAAATAAATAAATAAAATCTTTAAAAAAAAAGACCTAATTTTTGATAGTTTGTTGAGAATGAATTTGTCAAAATTACATACAATTGCCCTAGCTTGAAGTACCCATATACAGGGAGAATGGTATTGAGTGCCTTGTAGGTTTTTGCTTTGTCATGCCATTCACAAAACCAGTCTGAAAACCCAAGTGCTATTGCTTTTTCCTCAATCATTCTTCACTATCAATTTTTAAGATTGTATTTATTTGTTTATTTTAGAGGGTCAGGGGAGGGGCAGAGGGAGGAGAGAGAATCTTAAGCAGACTCCCCGCTGAGCACAGAGCCCAAAGCAATGACCCACTCAATCTCACGACACCCTCCCCGCCCCCGCAACGAGATCATGAAATGAAGAATCAGCACTTAACCTACTGAGCCACCCAGGTGCCCCTTCACTATCAAGTTTTAAAAGAAATGTTATATATCTGATTACTCTTACCCAGTAGTATTTGTCCCCTGGAAAGTATGACTGACGTATTCCTTCAGCTCTGTGATTTCCTGTGCGTCCTTTAAAAATAAAGCCTCCTTTCTATGGCTGAGAAAGGCTGACAAATGAGTCTCTGCTCAGTGGATTTTTATTTTAAGGTTAAATTAGATCCTGCCACCCTCTTACTTCTTTATTTCTCAACCTCCAATGGCTTCCCAGCTTACCCAGAATAAAACATAGGCTCTTAGTATGGCTTCATCTTTCCTTCCCCAGGCCTGGCTACCTTCACCTTCTTCCTGCTCCTGGAACTTACTAAGCAGGGATCTTGACTCTGGTAATCCCTCTGCCTGGAATTCTCTCCCTGAGATAGAGCACACCGGGCTCTGACTCTGTCATTCAACTCAAAGTCCTCTCCTTACTGCCCACTCCATTTACATTTGGACCCCCATATCCTTCATCAGCCCCTATTACTGTGTCTTGTTTGTTCATATTGCTTATCCTTTCTGAAATGATCCTGTTCATTTATTTGATTACTTGCATATCATTTATTTTCCCCGCACTAAAATATAAGTTCCAAGAGAGAGAGAGACCTTGCCTTTTTGTTCATTGTTGTATGCCCAGTGCCTGGCACATAGCAGGCACTCAATAAATGTTTGCTGAGTGAGTGAGTAAATGAATGAATGAACAGAATGAATGAATGAACTGAGAACATTGGCAGAGTCTGGTCTAATACAGGCAGCCTCCTCTGACTTCTTTAAAATCACATTTTCAGGGTGCCTGGGTGGCTCAGTCATTAGGTGTCTGCCTTCGGCTCAGGTCATAACCTCAGGGTCCTGGGACTGAGCCCCACGTCAGGCTCCCTGCTCAGCGGGAAGCCTGCTTCCCCCTCTCCCGCTCGCTCCCCCTGCTTGTGCTCTCTCTCTCACTCTCTCTCTCTCTCTGTTAAATAAATAAATAAAATCTTAAAAAAAAAAAAACAAAAAAATAAAATCACGTTTTCTGGAGAAGTCTTCAAATTAAGTGAAGGCTTATCTATTGGTTAAAAGAAAAGAACACTTGCCTCTTGAGGAGAAGGAAATATTTAGAAAAATTAAATTTCATTGGGCAGTAAATGAAATTAAACTTGTAGACCCATAAAATGGAAGTGGAAGCAGCGAATGCACCTATTACTTATCTGTTCCTTAGTTTACTGAGGATGTGTAAAAATTACCTGAGAACAGGTACCTCTTAGCTTGGCTATATTTCATTTTCCCCTTTTCATGTAACAGTTTTACAGCAGCCTTAAATATCCTCTTGATCTCATCTGATATCTCTTGCCAGGTCTTCTCATTGTCAGCTTTGGCAGAAGGCTGCATCTAGGAAAATGTAAAAGTGAGATACTAGTCTTAAGATCATCAAAGAAAAAAAAATCGGTATTCAAGCACAAGAAAAAAAGCACTATTATCTGAAGGTCTACTATGTGCCAATACTATGATAGGTGCTTAACAGGCCAATGCCCCTAGTAACCCTGAAAGTTAGAAATTATCTCCATGTTATATGTGAATTTGCCCAAATTACACAGAATTTGTTTATTGGGCTTTCTTATTGTACTACGTATTTCCCTTTTTTTTTTACATTTTTATTTTAGTTCCAATTAGTTATATTAGTTTAGTTTCGGGTGTACAATATAGTGATTCAACACCCATACAACACCTGGTGTCCCTCACGACAAGTACACTTCTTAATCCCCATTCCCTATTTCACCCTTCCCCCCACCCCCTCTGGTGCCCTTCAGTTTGTTCTCTATAGTTAAGAGTCTGTTTCTCAGTTTCTCTCTCTCTTTCTCTCCCCGCTGCCCCCGTTCCCTCCCTCTCTCTCTTTTTCCCTTTGTTTATTTGGTTTGTTTCCTAAATTCCACATATGATTGAAATCATATGGTATTTGTCTTTCTCTGACTTATTTCACTTAACATAATAATCTCTAGCTCCAGCCATGTCATTGCAAATGGGAAGATTTCATTCTTTTTAATGGCTGAATAATATTCCATTGTGTGTGTGTGTGTGTGTGTGTGTGTGTGTGTGTGTGTGTGTGTGTATCACAGCTTCTTTATCCATTCATCAGTCGAAGAACAGTTGGGTTGCTTCCATATCTTAGCTATTGTAAATAATACTGCTATAAACATAAGGATGCAAGTATCTCTTTATCTCTGTGAATTAGTGTTCTGTATTTTTGGGGTAAATACCCAGTAGTGTGATTGCTGGATAGTAGAGTAGTTCTAATTTCAACTTTTTAAGGAAACTTTACCCTGTTTTCCAGAGTGGCTGCCCCACTTTGCATTCCTACCAATAGTGCAAGAGGGTTTCCCTTTCTCCACATCCTTGCTAACACTTGTTGTTTCTTGTTTTGTTGGTTTTAGCCATTCTGACAGGTGTGAGACGATGTCTCATTGTGGTTTTGATCGGCATTTCCCTGATGATGAATGATGCTGAGCACCTTTTCATGTGTCTGTTGGCCACCAGCATGTCTTCTTTGGAGAAATGTCTGTTCATGTTTTCTGTCCATTTTTTCATTGGATTATTTGTTTTTTGGGTCTTGAATTTTATAAGTTCTTTATACATTTTGGGTATCAGTCCTTTATTGGATAAGTCATTTGCAAATATCTTCTCCCATCCCATATGTTGCCTTTTAATTTTGTTGATTGTTTTCCTCCTTGTGCAGAAGCGTTTTATTTTGATATAGTCCCAATAGTTCATTTTTCCTTTTGTTTCCCTTGCCTCAGGAGACATACCTAGAAAAGAGTTGCTATGACTGATGTTGAAGAGGTTATTGCCTATGTTTTCTTCTAGGAGTTTATGGTTTCAGGTCTCACATTTAGGTTGTTAATCGATTTTGAATTTATTTTTGTGTATGGTGTAAGAAAGTGGTCCCGTTTCTTTCTTTTACATGTTGCTGTCCAGTTTTCCCAACACCATTTGTTGAGAGACTGTTCTTTTCCCACTGGATATTCTTTCCTGATTTGTTGGAGATCAATTGACCATATAGTTGTGGGTTTATACCTGTGTTTTCTATTCTGTTCCATTGATTTATGGGTCTAGTTTTATGCCAGTACCATACTGTTTTGATCACTACAGCTTTGTAATATAACTTGATGTCCAAAATTGTGGTGCCTTCAGCTTACTTTTCTTTTTCAAGGTTGCTTTAGCTATTCAGGGTCTTTTTGGTTCCATATAAATTTTAGAATTGTTTGTTCTAGTTCTGTAAAAAATGTGTTGGTATTTTGATAGGGGTTGCGTTAAATGTGTAGATTGCTTTGAGTAGCATAGATATTTTAACAATATTATTAACCCATGAACATGGAATGTCTTTCCATTTCTTTGTGTCATCTTCAATTTCTTTCATCATTGCTTTATAGTTTTCAGAGTATAGTTCTTTCACCTCTTTGCTTAGGTTTATTCCTAGGTATCTTATTATTTTTGGTACAATTGTAAATGGGATTGTTTTCTTAGTTTCTCTTTCTGCTGCTTCATTATTGGTATATAGAAATGCAACAGATTTCTGTACATTGATTTTGTATCCTGTGACTTTACTGAATTTGTATATCAGTTCTAGCAGTTTTTTGGTTGAGTCTTTCGGATTTTCTATATATAGTATCATATCATCTGCAAATAGTGAAAATTTTACTTCTTCCTTACTAATTTGCCTTTTATTTCTTTTTCTTGTCTGATTGCTGAGGCTAGGACTTCCAGTACTATGTTGAATAAAAATGGTTAAAGTGGACCTCCTTATCTTTTTCCTGACCTTAGGGTAAAACCTCTCAGTTTTTCCCCATAGAGGGTGATATTAGCTATGGGTTTTTCATATATGGCTTTTATTATGTTGAGGTATGATCTCTCTAAACCTACTTTGTTGAGGGTTTTTATCATGAATGGATGTTGTGCTTTGTCAAGTGCTTTATCTGTGTCTATTGAAATGATCATATGGTTCCTATCCTTTCTCTTATTAATATGGTGTATCATGTTGATTGATTTGTGAATATTGAACCACACTTGCAACCCAGGAATAAATCCCACTTGATCGTGGTGAATGATTTTTTTAATGTATTGTTGAATTCAGTTTGCTAATATTTTATTGAGGAGTTTTGCATCTCTGTTCATCAGGGATATTGGCCTGTAGTTCTCTCTTTTAGTGGTGTCTTTATCCAGTTTTGGTCTCAGGATAATACTGGCCTCACTGAATAAGTTTGGAAGTTTTCTTTCTATTTCTATTTTTTGGAATAGTTTGAGAAGCGTGGGTATTAACTCTTCTATAAGTGTTTGGTAGGATTCCCCTGGGAAGCCATCTGGCCCTAGGCTTTTGTTTGTTGGGAGTTTTTTTGATGACTGATTCTCTTCCTTCCTCCCTTTTCTTCTCTTCTCTTCTCTTTCTTTCTTTCTTTCTTTTTTTTTTTTTTTGATTCTGTTTCTTTGCTGATTATCAGTCTGTTCAAATTTTCTATTTCTTCCTGTTTCAGTTTTGGTAGTTTATATGGTTCTAGGAATTTATCCATTTCTTCTAGGTTGTCCAATTTGTTGGTGCATAGTTTTTCATAATGTTCTTTTATAATTGTTTGTATTTCTGTGGTGTCAGTTGTTATTTCTCCTCTCTCATTTGTGATTTCATTTATTTAGGCCTTTATTTTTTCTTGATAAGTCTGTCTAGAGGCTTATCAATTTTATTGATTTTTTTCAAAGGACCAGTCTCCGGTTTCATTACTCTGTTCTATTGTGTGTTTGTGTGTGTGTGTGTGTGTGTGTGTGTGTGTGTGTGTGTGTTAGTTTCTATATCATTTATTTCTGCCCTAATCTATTATTTCTTTTCTTCTGCTGGTTTTAGGTTTTGTTTGTTGTTCTTCTTTGAGCTCCTTTAGGTGTAAGGTTAGGTCGTTTATTTGAGATTTTTCTTGCTTCTTGAGGTAGACTGTATTGTTATAAACTTCCCTCTTATGTACTTTTTAATTTTTTTTTATTTGCTGGTTGACCCATTCATTGTTTAGTAGCATGCTATTTAACCTCCCCGTGTATTTGTGGTCTTTCCAGATTTTTTCTTGTGATTGACTTCATGTTTCATAGCATTGTGGTCAGAAAAGTTGCATGGTATGACTTCAATATTCTTGTATTTTTTTGAGGTTTGTTTTGTGGACTCATATGTGATCGATTCTGGAGAATGTTCCATGTGCCCTTGAAAAGCATATGTGTTCTGCTGTTTTAGGATCTGAATATATCTGTTAAATCCATCTGTTCCTGTGTGTCATTCAAAGCCACTGTTTCCTTGTTGATTTTCTGTTTAGATGAGCTGTCCATTGATGTAAGTGGGGTGTTAAAGTCCCCTACTATCATTGTGTTATTATCTATTAGTTCCTTTATGTTTGTTATGAACTATTATATGTATTTGGGTGCTTCTATGTTGGGTGCATAAGTATTTACAATTGTTATATCTTCTTGTTGGATTGTCCTCTTTATTATTACATAGTGACCTTCTCTTTCTCTTGTTACAGTCCTTGTTTAAAGTCCGATATAAGTATTGCTAGTCTGGCTTTCTTTTGACATCTATTTGCATGATAGATATTTCTCCATCCCCTCACTTTCAATCTACAGGTGTCTTTACATCTAAAATGAGTCTCTTGTAGGCAGCATACATATGGGTCTTGTTTTTCATCTATTCTGTCACCCTCATTCTTTTCATTGGAGCATTTAGTCTATTTACATTTGAAGTAATTATTGATGGAAATGTATTTATTTCCATTTTATTATGTATTTTGTGGTTGTTTCTGAATATTTTCTCTGATCCTTCCTTGTCTTTTTTTCATGTTTTGCTGATTTTCTTTAATGATATATTCAGATTCATTTCTCTTTATTCTTTGCATATTTATTAGTGGTTTTTGATTTGTGGTTACCCTTAGGTTTGTATATAACTTCACATGCATACAGCAGTCTATATTAAATTGATGGTCATTTAAGTTTGAACCCATTCTTTTTTCCTGTCCTCCCACATTTTAGGTATATGTTATTATATTTTATATCCTTTTTTGGTGAATTCCTTGGCTGATTTTTTTACAGAAATATTCACTTTTACTGCTTTTGTTTTTCTTACCTTTGTACTGTCACTTTTGTTCTCTCCTTTCCACTCAAAGAGCCCCCTTTAATATTTCTTGCAGGGCTGGTTTAATGGTCATGAACTCCTTTAGTTTGTGTTTGTCTGGGAAACTCTTTATCCCTTCTTCTATTCTGAATGATAGCCATGCTGGAAGGAGTATTCTTGGCTGAAGATCTTTCCCATTCAGCACTTTGAATATATCATGCTACTTTCTTCTGGCTTGCAAAGTTTCTGTTGAAAACCTCGTGCTAGCTCTATGGGTTTTCCCTTGTAAGTTACTGACTTCTTTTGTCTTGCTGCTTTTAAAATTTTTTCTTTATCACTAGATTTTGCCAATTTAATTACAGTATGTGTCTGTTTCTCTGTGTTAAGAAAGTCAGCTATGTCTTCTGCTCTTGAAAGTAGTGACTTTATGAAGAAGAGGTCCTGGAGTGCCCTGCAGCACAGTGTCCCCTGTCCACCAGAACTTGACCCTTCAGGAGAGTACCCGATCTGTGTTGCTTATGCCCTGCTGTTGTGTTGGAGTCACTTTTCCTTTCAATGGAGTCATCCGCACTGGCTCTTTGCCTGATGTGGGCTATGCTTGCTCTCAGTGGTGTTAGTGGGACCCAAGGAGGCCAGTTCTGAGGGGGCAAGACTGCTGGGGAACTTGGGATGGGTGATGGTGTTAGCAAAATTTGTGCTGGCCCCTAGTCTTATGCCAGATCTCCAGTGCTAAGGCGGCTGGGGGCTGCATGCTGTGGTGGCTAGGGATGGGAGGCTGGGTGGGGTGAGTGATGAGGGTTAGACATGCCTGGGCCTGGTGTGAGATGGTGGCTGGGGGCACATTGCTGGGCATGGTGTGGTGGCAGCTGTGGACCAGGTGGCAGTGTGGTATGTGCATGGCTTTAATAAAATTTGCCGTGAGCCCCGGGGCCGAGGCTAGCAAGTTTGGAATGGGCGAGTCCTCAGGAGAACTCGTGGGCTTGGCTCACTGCTAGCAGGTTAAGTAGCAAGTCCCTCTTGGGTTTTGATACAGAGAACAGAAAGTTAAAGGAGAGGTCCTCATATGTTTCCATTTAATTGTCTTTAGTTGTCTCTTCATTTGTTTCTGAGTCTCTGGGAAATCAAATGGGAGGACTGCCGACCAAGCAAGTAACATTTATAGAGTCTTGGTGATAATCTTATTTGTGCATTCATTTATTTAACAATAATTTATGCAGAAATATCAGGTGGGGTTTAGAGAATAACTTAAATTTTCCCTAGATGATCTCAGAATGACAAAGGAACAACTCAAGCCAATTAAACAGTAACATATGAGCAAGTGCTCCCAAACCGCTGTCTAAACCTGGTTTTGTGAGGTATTAGGTTTTTTGATATCTACATTTACCAGCAATACATTTACTCCTGGCATATTCAACTGAGGAATGGCTTGGATTTGCCCTACGATTCCTATCCACAGAAACCAGATTCTTGCAGATAAGTACTTTGAATAATGCATGGAGGGGGAAGAAGGAAAATTAAGGATCCTGGCATGGTTTCATATTGCATGCAGAAAATGCTGTATGCTAAATATGAGAATGACAAATACACAGGTTCTTAAATGAACTGTCGCCAAGTCAGAGCTGTTCTCCTCTCAGAGATGCCTTGGCACTCAATGTATCAAGGATGTTCTCTTTGGAAGAGGGATGGATCTCTATTCCTTCTCTTCAATCTCTCCAGGAATCCTATGCAAGGAAAAGACCCATCCGTTTTCTCTTCCTCCTTTATTCTGTTTCAGGGGACACATGGTAGATACATTTAGGAACCAAGTTGGAGAGGAAACATTGATACTATTTCCATCATACAAAGGCATGAATCAACCTCACTCCAAGATTATACATAAGATACAAGAATATAAACTATGCATGAAATATTAAGGGAAAAATAATTAAGTTAAAAAATGAGAGACTTCAAAAATAGCTAGGCAGATTTTAAAAAGCCCCTCCCCCCAAAAAAACTTTTACAAATCAAAAATATAACTGTTAAACCTGAAAGCTTAATGCATGAACAGAGTGGACACAGCTGAAGAAAAAAAAAAATACTGAATTGGAAAAGACCTAAAATAGTCTTCTGGACAGCAGCGTGGAGGGCTAAAGAAATTGATATATGAAAGAGAATCAAGAGAAATGGAGGACAGACTGAGATGGTACCGTGTAAACTAAATTATAGTGCAAACAAGAAAGAACAGAGGGAATAGAGGAAAGACGTTATTTGATGAGATGATAGCTGAGAGCTTTCCAGGACAGATAGAGTACATGAATTCATGAATATAGGAAGCACGACAACATGACTTCAGAATATCGTAGACACATTATGGCAAAATGATTTCTTCAGATAAACAGACCCCAGTCCGAGAGGCCAAAAAGAAAGGTAAGACAAAAATTGGTAAGTTTCTTAGGTTTGGATTTTGTTGTTAAAAAGAGATGTAAGGTCCAGGGCAGAATAACTTTCTGTCTGCTATGCCTTTTCTGTGGATGACCGACGGTTGGAAGTAATAGACACGTACATACTTTGGAGAGAAAGATAACTCACTGCATTTTTATTGCTTTTCAGCATTTCCGATTTAGGTCTGAGGTAATAAGCTGCCGGCACTGAGTTCTCGTCACGACAGTACCACTCTTCCAGAAGCTTGGTCTCCAGCTTCGCCTCTATAGCAGCATCCAAAATCATTTCAAACTCCGAGGCTTCAACTTCTCCAGGGATTCGAATGTTCCCGTACTTTTCACCCAACAGTCCCTGTGTATCCACAAGAAAGTTCAGGTTAGTGTATCACCAAGAAAATTCATTTTAGTATTCACATCATGTAGTTAAATTGAATATTTATTGAACATTAAATAGAAACAAGATACGTTGTTCTATCACTTTTCTCTTTTAATCGCAGTGGATACTTTTTTCCCATGCATTATTTAATAAGTAGTTAGATCAATTATATTGTAATTATAATAAATTCATATAGTGAGAACTGAGATTGCATATCACATCAGACAAATTCAAAATACAGAGTTTTGTAGCAAATTTATTTCCCCCAAATTTACATAACACAACAAAAGTTGTTCTACTCTGAGATTTTTGTTTGTTTGTTCATGACAAAGAAAAATGACATGCTGGGCTCTATGAAATATCACACAGGCAAACTCTCAAGAGAATTGCTTTGTGAAGAGTTAGATTTTCGCAGCTATAAATGAAAGTAGGAAATCACTGAATGCGATACTACTATGGACCCCACTGTAACTCAAGACAATTTATAAAATGTAAATAAGATATCATTTTCTCCTTATTAAATCGGGAAAGAAAAACATGCTCCGTGTTATGTGAAAGTGTGAGAGGATACCCACATAGTGCTGATGGGTGTGTAAATGGATCCAATATTTCACTGAGGAGTATTCTGGCAGAATGTATTAAAAGCCTTAAAAATCTATATAACTTTGGACTTCTGGGAAATTGTCTTTAGAAAATAATTAAGGATGTGCATAAAGACTTACCAGAATATTTATGCTGATACAGTTATAACAGGAAAGAACTGACATAACAACCTAAGTGTCCTGCAAATGGGAACATTTAAATATACTATGGTACGTCTATTCAAGGGATAGAGCAAGTCATGTTCCATTACTGTCTTGATGTAGAAAGATTTTTTTCAAGTTGTTATTTAAATTCCAGTTAGTTAACATACAGCGTAATATTAGTTTAAGGTGAGGAATTTAGTGATTCATCACTTACATACAATACCCAGTGCTCATCACAAGTGCCCTCCTTCTTCCCTATCACCCATTTAACCCGTGTCCCCGCCTGCCTTCCCTCCATCAGTTTGTTCTCTATAGTTAAGAGTCTGTTTTCTGGTTTGCCTTTTTTCCCCTTTTTTCCTCCATGTTCATCTGTTTTGTTTCTTAAATTCCACTTATGAGTGAAATCATATGGTATTTGTCTTTCTCTGACTAACTTATTTCACTTAGCATGATACTTTCTAGCTCCATCCATGTCATTGCAAATGGCAAGATTTCATTCCTTTTTTATGGCTGAGTAATATTCCATTGTGTGTATGTGTGTGTGTGTGTGTGTGTGTGTGTGTGTGTGTGTACACCACATCTTTATCCATTCATCTAGTTGATGGACATTTGGGCTCTTTCCATAATTTGGCTATTGTTGATAATGCTGCTATAAATATGGGATGCACATATCCTTTCCAATCAGTATTTTTGTATCCTTTGGGTAAATACCTAGTAGTGCAATCACTGGATCATAGAAGATGTTTATAATATATTATTAAGTGAAAAGCTAAGTTACAAAACAATATGTATAAGATGATTCCAATGTTTTATATATATTACATATATATGAGAGAGAAGATTGTATATATATGTATATACAAACATACACATAAGAAAAATTTTATAGGAATGCACAGCAATATTATCAATGGCTATCTCTGGGTGGCTTTAAATTTACTTAGGTTGTTTTATGAATTTATTGTTTTTTTAAGTTTATTTATTTTTTTAGTGATCTCTACATCCAATGTGGGACTTGAACTCACAACCTTGAGAACAAGAGTCACATGCTCCACCGACTGAGCCAGTCAGGCGCCCCAGAGTTTATTGTTTTTTTTTTTTAATTAAAACTTTTTTTTGTAGTATGCATTATTATTTTGTAATGAGAAGAACCACGGGCACTGAAAAATTTTAAACCTAGTGATGCTGTCTATACTGCTTTGTGGAACAACACTCTTGAGCTTCCTCTAAATGTCTGCTTAAGACTGTGGTTCTCAAAGTGTGGTCCTCAGACCAGCAGCATTAGCATCACCTGGGGACTTACTAGTTCTGCAAATTCTCAGGTCCTAGCCCAGACCCACTGAGTCAGAAACTCTGGGGGTCTCTGCTGAGCAATTAGTGCTTTAGCAAGCCCTCCAGGTGCCTGAACCACTGTTTGAAGCTAATAAAAATATTACCTCATATAGCATCTGGTATTTCAATTACTCTTCAACGTCTTATCTAGTGAGAAACAAGGAAAGGACATAATGGAACCCTAAGACAAATCTATGCCATCCAAGACAAGTTTGTCTGCTTTATGGTGTCCATGGGAAGGTTTCCCTTTAATCTGTGGGCACCTTCATCCTTTCCTCCTGTTGACTAGCACCTTTACTATAAACTCCAAGCCCTGTTTATGCATTGAAACGTGGGTGGTTTGGCTTCCTTGGGGGCACTTCTTACTACCTCTACTGCCTATCACTGCAATATCCACAGTGTTTTTTCACCTCATATAGCTAGATAGGTGAGAGAATTAAAGTCCTGGGGAGATCTGTGTTCCAACTAAATTCATAACCTAAACTCTACTGCAAAATGGTAAGCCCCATAAGGGTTGAGGCCTGAGATGTTGATTCCTAGCACATAGAAAATTAAAAAAAATAACAACCCTATTTGTTAAATAAATGAATGAACCAAAATAGAGAAGAAATCTTTAGACTGTTCTATTCATTCTTTAAAAGATTTATTTATTTATGTATTTTAGAGAGAAAGGGAGGGAGGAAGAGAGAGAGAGAGCATGAACAGGAGGGGCAGAGGGAGAGGGAGAGAGAATCTCAAGCAGACTTTGCATTGAGCACAGAGCCTGATGTGGGGCTCCATCTCATGACCCTGAGATCACAACCGGAACCGAAACCAAGAGTTGGATTCTTAACTGACTGCACCACCCAGGCAGCTCTTAGACTGTTCTGTTCTTAGTTGAAGCTGCTTCTCATATCCCGAGATAATATTTCAGCTCTCAACAGGTGGAGTAACAATTTGGGAAGGTGCTAGTCTTGTCTGCAACCTTCATTTCAGCCTGTAGTCTTTTAATAGGTCCTGTCTAAACACATCCCTGGTTGGGCCATGCCCTATCTCCTTGGGACATAATCCATCTCATCTAACTGGCTCACTCCAGCTGATTGTGGCTAACTGAACTCACTTTTTCAAGCTCAAGTTTCCTCAGTACTAGCCTCAGACACCAGGCAGGAGGGAGATACAACTTACTTGTCCTCTTTGGCTGCATAAAGGCCCTTTGTAAGGGCCTTGAATGGAGGGACACCACTGCTTTGGTCTCCATTATTTCAGCACGGTAAACGGGGGTCTACAGAGGGTTCTTTTGAAATAAGGGTGTTCTCACTCCAACTCACTGTATCAGCCTGAAGGCCAAATGAGAACCCTTTTATTTCAATCTGCATTTGTTTTGGGCTATTCTTGACAACAGGCTGTATGCAACAAAGCTAATGTTATTTTGAGTTGTGTCTCACTTTCCATTTTGTTAAGGAATAATCGACAACGCTGCACTCGCCTCAGGTATATAGCATAGTGATTCAATACTTGTATATGTTACAAAATGGTCACCACAATAAGTCTGGTTACCATCTGTCACCATACCAAGTTGTTAGGATATTATTGACTACACTCCCTACATTGTACGTTATATCCCCGTGTCTCATTTATTTTATATCTGGGAGTTTGTAGCTCTCAATCCCCTTCACCCATTTCGCCTATGCCCTCCCCTCCCTCCCCTCTGGCAATCATTGTTTTATTCTCACTTTTAATGTTCCTCTTCCAAACTCTCTCATGTAAAACTTGGGTAAATGAGCAGGTATGACCTCTCATTCTGCCAGAGATACAAAGGGAGACAATATTTTTAAGGCTAGCCAGACTGGGGATTATCCTGTTCCTGTTGGTTAGTTCTGGATAGAGGAGAGTCAGCATCTTCAGTCAGGACTGTCTGTCATGAGGAGTGAGGTTTTTGTGCTGGGATGAGCCATCCAGAAAACCTATATGGGCAAGGTAGAGAATAAGAAGACTTCGCAGCAGTAGCCACTGGAGACATTCAGTAGAGTTTGGCCGGGGGTGGAGGATCTGGTGGATAGCCAGAACATTAAATATGGGGTTTAGTAATTGACACTTCTCCATCTGGCAGCCAGTGAAGCCCAGGAGTATCATGGACCTGGCTACCAAGATCCAGGGCAAGACTGGCTGGATTTGGGGTATGGAGTAGGAAGGAGGACAAAATAGTGACTTCGTGAGACAAGACTGTGTCCTAGCACAGGACCATCATCACTGCACTAGCAATGAACTAACTGCTGGTTCTTTGTGTTTCTGCCCCTAACTAAAGCTGGTCCCAGAGTCCAGGGCAGTGTGAAATCTATGGCTCAGTTTCTAAAGCATGCACTGTGGATTACCTGCACCCCAATCATTCAGGGTGCTTGTTGAAATGTAGGTTCCAAGATCACTTCTCAGACCTAAAGAGCATTGTGGTTGGCAGCCCAGCAAGATTCATTTTAAAATGAGATTACAAAGGACACCCAAATTTGAGAACCACTGCTATGGGCAATGCACATGTGGTCTCATGACTAATGGTTAGCAAGCATTGAAGGGGCAGGATGGGGAACACAGCAGATCATTAGAAAAATTGAAGGCTACACAAAAATAATTATTTGAGGGGCGCCTGGGTGGCTCAGTGGGTTGGGCATCTGCCTTCGGCTCAGGTCATGATCCCTGGGTCCTGGGATCGAGCCCCGCGTTGGGCGCCCTGCTCAGCGGGAAGCCTGCTTCTCCTCCTCGCCGCTCATGCTCTCTTCTCACTATCTCTGTCTCTCTCTTTCAAATAAATAAATAAAATCTTCAAAAAAACAATTATTTGAGCAGAACTGCTGGCACCAAATACTACAATTACATGATCGATATAGTAAGGCCAAATGTATTTTAGAGTAGAGATACTAAAGAAGA